ATCTGTGAGAACAGGGTAAAAATTACTTATGTCGCATTTAAATAACTTTTACTCCTTATTAGTCCAAACGAGCTTTGCCCCTGAGGGACTATTGTTTTCGTTTTCCGATTTTGCGTCGAATCACTCTGAATGTTCGTTTCACTTTTCAAACTATTGCAACCAAATATTATCGCCCTGTATTATATTTGAAGAAATTAAATAATGAAGAATCTGCATAAATATATATATGTTTCTCGCTATGTCATAAAACAACGGTACCTAGAGCCATCCAATTTTGAATGACGTAATCTTACTGCGAATATGAGCATCTGGAAGCCCAAATTTGAAATTTGGAATTTGTTTTATTATCGATTTTATATTTTGTAAAATTTTAACGAATTTTTGATTAACAAACTCAAGAATTTCAAAGCGAGCAATGGCAAAGCTGTACAGAATAAACCTTTATATCACCAGCGCGTAAGACTGTGTATCGGAAATTCTAAAGATGTGCTCAATTTAAAATTATTTCGCGATATTGCTCTTGAACTGAATTTTATGGTTTAAGTGCGAAGAACATGATATGTAATAAATAAAGGTAACACACAAAATGTTAAAAAAAGCCCCTTTAGACGTAATTTAAAATCTGAAACCTTTCAGATTTATTTATTATTATTTTTTTATTAATTAACTTATTTTATTTTTGAATTTTATGTGCTCCTTTTATTTGTTCCCCACACTTACCCCATCTTTGTACCAGCTTTCGTCACGAAATCCAAGAATACTGTAATTTCAATGCCATCAGAGTCATAAACCAAAACTTTTTGGCAACACTGGTTACGGCTGAATTTAAGCACTGCCGGTAATATACCTAAAAAATGGCCTGAAGCTTTAACCTCTCACTAATAAATCTAACTAAATTCAGCGAGAATTCCTATAATTTTCATTCCCTGCGCTTAACTTTTCTCTAAAATCGGATTTCCTGTATGATGATTAATAGAATTTGAAATGAGTAAAAATAAAACCTTAGATCTTCGACGAACCAAGGGTAACTGAGATTTTCTGCTCTCCGTACAGCGGTTTTGACGTGCATTTAGGCGAACAGAAAATCTCTAAATCATTTATGACACAACACAGAGTACAAAACACCCCGAAACTTGGAAGTCGAGAGAAGAGAGATAATAATGCAGTTGTAGAGAGGAGAGATAACAGACGCAGCATATCGTAAATAACATAGTTGTTGAGAAGTCGAAAAACACGCCTAAGTGCTCGAGTGTGTACCGTCCAATCCCATATTTTAAATGGCTATAACCATTTTACACAGTGCTCTGTTTCTTACTCATAACTTTAACGTATAATGTCATGTAGTAGAAAAGTGGTAATGTTGCCTAAAGGCGATTAAGAAAATATACCCAGCTGTATTATTTAAACAAATTTAAATTCTTAACAAATACGTATAAAAGTAAAAAAGCAAATTTAAATTCTAAAAAAAGGAAAAAAGCCAAAATAATTTAAAATATAATTTTAAAAAATGTATATTCGTGTAGGGGAAGTTTCTGTAGACGAGGATTTCTAAAATACATTGGTTTCTAGATTTTTTTATTATTTTATAAAAAATTAAGTTTTAAAAAAATTTAATTTTTTTAAGAAAATGTTTTAATTCTTGACTTTACTTGCTTGTTACTCAAAAGACTTCATTAGTATTTTCCTTTTTGAACTTCAATTCTTAAATGTTAATACTTAAATGCTAATTTCTAAGGGTACCACTTTATTGGAATTACTTTTGGTTTTGACTTTTACCCTTGCCTGCATGAATGACGAAACACGAATTGAATGATTGGAGAGTTAGGTTTGGAGGCAACTTCCCGTTGATAAGTCTGTCTCCTGCCTACTCTATGGTCATTCACATATGCATTTTTAAAAAAAAATGTTTAATTTAATTTTAATTTATTAAATTAGTAGATTTATTTTCATGAATAGATTTTGCACTTGATTTGCTTATGCTTCTGAATTTAAATGATATTGTAGATTAGTTCGAGAATTAAATCTTTACATGTTTGCACACTTTTAAATTATTTTAAATTATTTTGGCTTTTTTTTTTTCCTTTTTTATAATTTTAAATTTGCTTTTTTTTTACTTTTATACGTATTTAGAATTTAAATTGTTTAAATTTAAATTTCATTCCTTGCAGCAATGGCGCAAAGAATATTTAATTTAATTTATTTAATATGTATTTAAATTTATTTTTTTTCATTAAATTCAATTTATTCTTATGAAACCACCCAGCTGTATTATGATATTTTATGCCATTTATTTTGGAATGTTAAAAATTTTTTATCACGAATATATTAAACTTTTTTTTGCAATAAAATGTCCACATTTTATCATTAAAATACGCAGTGAAAAATCAATGCATTATATTCTCTGTATGCGATAAAAATTTTACGTCAGGAAGGAAGAAATTGAAAAAGAGTAAAGAATCCATTCATCTCGTGCGATTTTATGGCGACCTGCACAGGAGTGGTTAAAACTAGTGCTCTGCGAAGCAATTTAATGCGAATGCATTTCCAATGTACAGGGTGATTCTAAATTGTTTTTACAAATTAAAAGGGGTGATAGTACTCATCCAGATGAGCAATAATTATCATAGAACTTAGGGTCGTATTGCACTCTGAAAGGCAGAAAAGAGGAATATTGGAATTCCAACTTGAATTTACAACAGTGTTGGGAAAGCGAATGAACGATACCAAAAGTTGCACAATCAGTTTAGTGAAAAACTCAAAGAGCGCACAAAACGGATGAAACCGAAAACGTGGCGTTGTGTTAATTTGATGGCAAAACACTCAAATGCACATCTTTGGTTGGCAAGGTCTCAACCTCGCAAACGATTGCAACAAATTAATTATCTAAATTATTAGGGAGAAATTATCTATTAGGGGGAAAAACTGCTATCTTGATATCAACTATCCCAAGGTAGCAGGTCTTTTCCCCTTCGCCATCTTCTATCCTGTCCTCCTGGAGATACATTCTATTTGAAGCGCCCATCTATGGGATACGAAGTTCTGACAGCCGGAACACAGCATGAACTTTTCATGCTAATCTCGGCATACAGTTGAAGTTGGAATTAGTTGATAATATTCAGACCTTTATTAGATAATTAACTTGTTGCAATGGTACGTAATTTTTAATATTATAATAATTAATATTATTATAAAATTAAAAATTACATTAATATTATATAAATTTCTTAAATATTATAGATACCAGGTAGTATGAAAACTAGATTTCATGCTTTTTATAAAATACATTTTTTTTAAAATTTAAAAATGCAAAAACATGAATATTTGCGTTATTTAAAACACCTTTGTAACTGGAAATGTATATCTATGACAACGTAACACGAAAGGCCACGTAAGGACTTCATGGGCACCAAGGAGGTTAGAATAGATGGAGTAAGATCCCCCCCCCCTCCTCCGTACGCTCCGTGCAATGAAAATGCAGCGATGAAACGTCACGGTATCACTTCACGACTTATTCTTTACATTCCAGTCGGCGTTGTCTACAAGTTAGCTTTCATTATTGAATGTTTATAAGTCTCCTATTCTAACTTTCATATTTAACATAAATGATTTTGCTACTTAGTACAGAAAAAAATCACAAGAATTGCAAATAACTGTTTCAGATTCAATAAAATCAAGGCACACGAAAATTGTAAAGGATAAGTATACGACATAGTAAAACCTAGAACACCAGCGGAAATTTTAACGATATTTTGCGCAAATTACGCCTAGAGACAATTTTCTGAGCCTCCGGACGTTCATATTTGAAATCTGCTATAGTAGTCAGTGTAATTTTTATTTAACAATATGTTTCGTAGTCTTATCCTTACACTGTGTGGCGGCCATGATAAGATGTGATGTCACGTTGTTGACATTTCTTGCGCTTCATTTTTGAAACGTGATGCTTACTCCATCTATTCTAACCTCTTTGCTGGGCGCAACGCATAAATTTAAATTTCTCATTGCTGCCAGTTCATTTCTGTTTTTAGATTCTCCATTAATTCAATACTTAAAATAATTTCATACTTACAATTATTTTTTTACTATAATTAGAATGCGATTTGTTCCTTTTTTCATTTGTGTTTAGCCTTTGATTATGTTAATGTAAACATATGTGTTTGCATAGAGATATTTCTTTATTTAGTATTTTTTGTGAATTTGTTTTTATTTATTATTTTAATAATCTTCAATAGCAATTTTATGTCTATTTATTGTGTTTTTTGTACAGTCTTCAATTTGTTATTCCAAATTGTTTTTTTATATGTTTAATTGTTTTCTTATTTTGTAGTACTTGTAATTATGTGCAAATATAGACCTTGGAATTAAGCAAAGTATTTAAGAAGAACTAAAGGTATGGGCTACTGAATTATACCATGCAAAACCGACGATTTTTGTCGCCAAAGCAACATTTAATGATTTTTCATAAAGAGGACTTGAAAGTTTAGCTAAAGCCTATTTTAGAAGCTCAAAGATGGAATTTTTAAGTTATGTTCTGCCATTATCAATCCACTTGGGCTTTTGTATGAACACAAGTGTGATGGAAGCAATTATTCAACTGGGAATTAGTCTAAAGTGATTCAAGATGATTTAATTTTGATTAAGTACTTAGCGATTTTTGTTAACGGTTCAGCAAATCTAGGTTTCGTATTTTGAAAACGGAAATTTTCAAAAGCAGTTATCCTTCATTTAAAGAACCTACCTTGTGGTATCCGTTCTTATGTTATGAATAATTTTTAATATTGCATGTTTTTCCTCCTGAAGGTGTTTTAAGCTCATATCTTCATATATAAAATTATTAGAGCTTTCAGTTGAATTTAAGATTCAAGCTTCTCTTTTCATCTGAATTTGACATTTAAGAGATATTTACAACCGTAACTTGTACTAAAATATGCATTAGTCATAAAATAAAAATAAAATTATAAATTAAGAATAGCATTCTTAACTTTTCTTTTCTTTAATTTCAGATGAAATTGTACGTCTTTGCTGTCCTGTTGTGGGTTGGTGTCTTTGCAACCGAAATGAGGGAACGGAATGAAAAGGTGAATATTAGGTCCAATTCTATCGAGAATAAGAAATTACGAACTGTATCACACCATAACGAGGAGTCACCGTTTCCTCGACATCTGGACATCAACTCCTTGAGAAATATGCCTCTAATTGTTCTGCAGCCAAACACTCCTATACGTTTCCAGCTCCTACCCGGAGACAACTTATCTAACTTGCAGAAATCTTTGAATCCTAACAGAATTATGGAACTTTTGAAATCTGCAACATCCAGTTTGCCAACAAGCGTATCCAATCCACTCCCGAGACAGACCAGAAGACAAAACAGAAATATGAATCTGGCAGCAAATCACCCATATCAAACAACTGTGACGTTACCTTCCAACAATCATCAAAGCTTCTCCCACAGATTTCAGAAAATACCTGTGAACCAAGAACCAAGATCTCTCCTTAGTCCTTCAACAGATGGTTGGTTTCACAGATTCAAAAACTCGTTTTCCAATGCTTTACCATTAAATAAACCCCAGCATGCGAATTTTTTTCACACGGCAATGCCGTCGACTAATACCCCAGTTTTTTATCCATTCACAAATCCGCTTAATGGGGCACTGAATCATTACCCAGGTGTAAATCAACAGATTCAATCACATCATTTTGGAAATATCAGGAGACCCTTCCAACCCCCAATTATGGATTTTTCGAGTGCTGCATCTTATGTTCACCCAACTAGAATATTTTATGGAAATCGCCCCGCGTTTAATCCGTTTAGGCATAATGTAATACCTCAACAATATTTTGGGGGTAATATAGCGATTCCACATTTAAATCCCATTCGCCATCGAATTCCACATCCTATGCATTACAACTTTGCCCGGTACGTTTCTTCTGTTCCACGACACAAGCCTCTGTTTAATAACGTTGAAGGTCTTCAAGCTGCCAGCTTAGAAATTAGCAATGCTTTTGCTGATTTCGCAGATTCCCCAGAACACGGACCTGAAGTTAATCAGCGGTTTGGATCCGTTGGACATTCCATCAATAACTTTTTGAAAATGATGGGTCTTGGAGCATCTGATGGATTTACTATGGATGATGGTGGTGGATTTGGAGGAGGTGCAGACTTAGCAGCTATGGATTCTGTTCCGCGAGCAAGATCTTTGGATTTTTATCCAGGTTACGGCAATCAGGCTCATTTAGATGACATAGAAGATTTTCCGATTTTTCACGAAGACATCACCGAACAATTTAAAATTAAAATGAACTTAACCAATACCACATCAAGCATAAGTCTGAAGAAAGAAGATGAGAAGAAAACAAATGATATGAAGAAAGTACCACTCATGACAGTAAAGCCCGGAATGGAAGACGAAATGAAAAAGAAACCCGAAGTAAGTGCTAAAGATCATAAAAACATGAAATCTTCTAGTGATAAGGAAATCTTAAAAGATGTGAAAATATCTACAATGGGAAATACATCATATGCTCCTGCATTACCGTTAGGAACAATTAGACCCGAAAAATCCCATACGGCGAATAAGGATAATAAGATAAATGAAACCCAAGGGCCAAAGCAATCGAGTATAAATTCAGAAAAGCCAACTGTTAATTATAAAGTGCCCCTAATGCATCCAACAGTCGCACCTCAGGATCGAAAGCTTCCGATTGCAATTTACCGGAATTTCCAAACAAAACCCAAGCCCGATGCTTCACGAAAATCACCAAAACAACCTTCCTATGCACCAGCTCAGTCGCTTCCTCATCCACCAGAAACCGAGGCTGATCCAAATAAGCTAGTTGATGACGATGTTGGTCGTTTGTGGCTTCCAGTAACCAGTAGTCATGGATATGTAGAAAAACGACCTTTGCCAGTCATCAGTACTAATGAAAATTCAAATCAACCAGCTGGTTTGAGGGTATTACAAACGGTTCTGAGGAAACTTCCTTAACGCGATTTGTCGCAAATATAACCCAGTTTGTATTTATTTGATGAAATTACATGCGGGAAACGTGCAATTTTGTCCTCTACTTAAATTTAAGAATGCTATTATCAGCTCACTGAAGTATATTAAGGAAACTATTTTATGAAATATTCAATGTCCAGTGAAATCGTACACAATAATTAAAAACTTTAATACTTTATACTTCTTTTCCATTGGCCATTGTATGTCAATAGAAATAGTTTGTATTTTAAATTAAACGCTTGATAGTTGAGAATTAAAAAAATAATATATACATCATGCAGCTGGCACTAAACAAGATAGACAAGAATTCGGTGTACTTCATATCAGTGACAAGACTCATATTAGTGTTGGGTTACGATTCCCCAAAAAATCTGATGTGTAGATAGATACATGTAATCGCATGCTTCTTCATTTTTTTATTGTATATGAAATATTTTTGCAATAGTTTTACCTGTACCCAAATTTCAGAGAATGGAACATGAAAGGGAAAAAAATCTGGAATGATTTCTTTTATAATTATTAGCTATGATGTCTTTAAAACGGCTGTAATTGGGGTTAATAAATCCATATAGAAGATTAATAGTAGACATATTTTCATGTACGAAAGAAAATGTCTGTAGAGCTGGAATGAAAAAAGACTACTGATAATTGTAATTACAAAGAAACTAAGATACTATCTGAAAACCGAATAAACCGATAATTCCTCAGAATTGTTCAGATTTTGTGGTGTCTGGTAGAAACATTCATTGTGTAACACTCTTTCTTGTGCGATTTTTGGATTTTATTTAATGTCAAACAGTAAAGGAATGCTTTCACAATATGGCGTTGTGACAAAGTCGTGTGCCTCAAATAGTCGTGACAGCTGAGAAGTTTGGCATTTTACTATTAGCAGAAAGCATCTATTATTAGTTTCTACTATTAAAAGACTTTGAGTGGACTTATGTAAATTTAGTTTCCCTAATAACTCGCTAGACAGTGGATCTTAAAACTGCTGTCAGAGCGAATTACCTTTATTTCAACATGCTTTGCTTCGTAAGAAAAAAAGATGGTTTTTGGTAGTGAATCTACCAAGTAAATCTTCTGATTGAGTAGGAATCATGGCTGCGAAGTGCACAAATTTTAGCGAGCAGCAAATTTATGATCGTAAAATGTTAGTTACTGCTAGTTAGGAAAAAACACAGGATTTTTTTGCTGTGCCATACACTTTTTACATTATTTCTATCCCTCCATACACAATTAATTAAAAAAATCTGTCTTACTGAGAGTTCTACAGGTTTATTGCAAATCAGACAGTTTTTACCATTCAGGTAGATATATCAATCAAAATGAGGACTCCATTTTCAGAGAAATGAAATCAAACCGTTCTAAACTAGTATAAGAAGGCAACTTTACAGCAAAAAATTTGTTAAAGTTTACTGCCTTTCAGAAATAAATAATTAATAAGGCAATGCCCCTATACATCATTATACTTTGATAGGAATTGTTACAATTCTCTTATACATCATTCTACTTTGGTGGGAGTTGTTACAATTCTCTTAACAGTTTTACAGATATTTTGTTTTGGCAAACGCTATTATATAATTCCGAGGTTTAGTAAGAATAAAGCTACATTTGTATTCCGGAATATATTTTGAGCTTCATAAAACGCATATTTCATTTTGGACATTATGTTATTAAATAAATGTAGAAAAGAAGACAATTCTTTTCCAGAGCAATCAGCTTATTTAAGATAGCATACGAATGTATCCATATGTAATCAGCATGAATATGAATATCGTCAATCGATTTCAGTTTTTTTACTTGAAAACGATATACAGTATTTAGTGTAATCTTCAGTTGGAGATACTCGGATAATTTGGGTACTTGGAGACATTTGTAAAATTTAGATGATAAGTTTTCTCATTTAATTTTGAAGCAAGTTACCGTATTCTATTTATTACCGTTTTATAACTACTGCCAAATAAATATTTTGCCAAAAGACGCCAGACTTGTAGTTACTCCAAGTGAAGATTTATCAGCATTAAGTAATTGCTGTGGTTGTGATTTCTTATTTGAAGTAGTATATATCAAGTGTTTGTTATGTCGTTTATTTATAATTTGATACGCGTTGAGAATTTTATAATAAGCAGTATTTTTGTCTTGCAAGAGTCTCTTTTGAAGTAATGTGTATATTTGTTATATTTGCAACATTTAATTTATCATATTTTATGTCTTTTCTCATTTTTATATCTAATCTCAAGAAGTTTTTTTAATTTTTATTTTTACATTAGACATGCATATATAAGTATATACGCATGTGCATTACACACATGTATAATATATATATATTTGCTGGTTTGATTTATATATGTATTAGATGTAATGTAGTATGTGCATGAAGTTTACGTCCCATTATTTTTCAAAAATATCAAAAAAAAAAAAAAAAAAAAAAGGGAAGGAGATGCTGTGTTTGAAATAACAGATTTTGAAGATCATGTTTCTAAAATGTTCATTTAATGTTCATCATAAAAACATTAATGCTTCATCACTTTTGATACTTATGCTTAAAAATGATAAAATCAACCTCAGATACCTAAATGGATATTAAAAAAAAATGTGCTTTTTAATTTTTTAATGTTCTTGACATACCAAATTTGAAAAAATTATTTGTTTCTTGTTATAATTTCTAGAGTAATTCAAGATTTTGTTGATATGTAAATTAACTGCATAATATACACTAAATACAGTAGAACTCTAAATAGTCAAAACAACTGAAATAATGGGCCATTCGAATTAAAAAAAATTCTGAAAAGAGAGCTTTTTTTTCTGCAGGCCAATTATCACTCTAAAACTTTATTTAAAGAAGAATTAAAGAAGAAGAGCAAAATTTCCTTCTTAAATAGAAAGTTAAAAAGAATTTTTGTTATTACGCTTATGACATTTTACGAGCATTTCAAAAATATTTTACATTCAGTGTATTTTCATTTCGATAAAATAAATTACGAAACTCGATCTGTTTTGATAAAATTAAGAAATCAAGTTTCAATAATTCGCTTAAAATTAAAACTCATTTATATTTTATTATTACGAAAATAATTATAATTGTAGAGACATTAGGTATTGCGGAAGCAGGAAAGATGAAAAATTAGCAACAACTTCGCCAGGAATCGAACCGCGGACCTCTACGGAATACCGGTCCAGCGTGCAGAACCACTACACCACGAAGGCACGCTAGGAAATCGGGAGAAATACCTTATATAATAAAAAGAATATTTTAATAAAAAAATATACGAATTTAATTTTGATTTTCTTAAATGCTGATTCTAAACACATAATCTTCCTTTAATTTTTATAGTTTTGAAATACTGATGCTAAAATCCTCATTATCCGCGTGAGGTTTATACATTTTTGTTGATTTTTCGCTCTTTAAACAAAAATAATAGCTTCCAGGACTGGATATTAAGAAGACAATAAAGTTATGAATTTTACAGAATATTTTTGATGCAATAAATTTCATTGTTAACGCCTGGGATGAAATTAAATGCTTATCATCTATATGCATTTTTAACAGTTTTTGCAACTAAAATTTTGAATTTTCAGAATGATTTACAAATAATTCGATCCCAAAAAAACGAACAAAGGAAAGAAAAGTAATAATTGAAATAGCCTGTAAAAATTATTTTTATTTTATTTTACAGGGTAGAGAGGTTTGATAATGTATTACGAATATATTTAATATAATCGTAATACATTAATCAAACCTCTCAATATCAGAAAATGAACTCAAAATTTTCTACCAGTCTTCGGAAACCTCTCTCTGCTGCAAGCAAGTCCGAGTGACCTAGAGTCGTCCTTCATTTTACAATTAACATCGCCATCATCCGCTTCATTAATTATATCATTCTCAGTTTCGTCTATAGCATTACTGGTGCAATATATTGCGAACGACCGGGCGCTGATTTCTGGCCAGCTTTTCGAACGAATGAGGATTTGGTATTGACCTTTAGCTTGTCTGAAAGAAAGCTAAGAAGAAATGAGAGGTATAGATGATCAATTATTCGAAAGTTTAGCAGCATATAGTAGGTTTAGGCTTCTTCAGCTGCAGTGCAATTGAAGAAGGCGACAGTGTTCAGTCATTAGAGGCCCTCTAGCTGAAATAAAATCATAACATATTTTAATCAATTAACTTTTTTTTTTTCTTTCTTCAATCTTCTATTTGGGTGGATTTATAGGCGGAATTTAATTTCAGCCTATTCTCGGTTTTCGAATTGAGCTTAATTTTTGCAGCTAAATCTTACCTCTCGGATTGCACATAAATCGATCTATATTTGAAAATATAGTTTAAGGCTTTCAAAATATAAATAAGTATATAAATAATAAATATATAATAAGTTATATTACTATTTTAATTAAACCCATATTTAAAAGAAGAGAACGCTTCGAACGAAGTATTCTCTTCATTTATAACACTGAAAGTTTTGCAGAGTTTATATTTTCTACATCCAGAAAAAAGTTTTAGATCAGTCGCACGTTTCAGTTATCATTTTGTTACTTACTTAGCACAGATAATTGAGTGTTCCGTGCAAATAAAGAAATTACTTTTTTAATAAAAAGAAAAGCAACCTTAATTTGACAGAGATTTTGAATAAAGAAGGAAAAAGGAGAAGGACCTGCACCTGATTCGCTATCAGAATCAAAAATGTTTTATTCCAAATCTGCACGAAACAAAGATGGCTTTTTAAGTAACTTTAAATTTTACATTAGCGTGTTCCATTTGAAATTATGTTTTATTTGCATAAAATAAAAGGCACAGAAATTAAACTAAATCATTATTTTCTATGAGTAACATGATGAACTAATCAAATTAATGATATAATATTCATTATTAAAGTTTTGTTCTTTACAGTTTCCGATAAATTTATGTTTTAAAGACAAATATTTAAAAAAATGTATGCTCTCTTTTGTTGCTCAAATCCGCTTTTACAGCCAGATCTTATTTTATTTTATTTAGTTCAAATGATTAATATTATTCAATTCATATTACTGAAAACAATTAAAAAATTAAAAGCACATTTATTTTCAAACTCTCAATTAATTCAGGGTAACTCTATACTGAGTATATTAAGATCCTGGATAACTGGAGTTCTGTTGTACTAAAGATTTATACTGCAATATTTGTATTGCAGATCGAATCACAATGAGTATTTTGTCTGAATTTTTTTAATAGTATAGTACAGTAAAGATTATTTTCATAAAAAATATGACAAAAAAATGATTGTAGAACTCATTAGCGAGTAAATAGAAACATGCTACGGTTGTAATAATTTTCAGTATTAAAAGTTTATGTTATATGAATAATTTTTGTATTGTAAAAATAAAAATTATTTTTTTCATTGCTTTATTATTTTACTGTTTTGTTGAATATTAACATTTAACAAACGATACATAAAGCTCAAAATTGCATACGGTCTGTATACGCTTTAGAGTCAAACTAAGCTATCATTATGATATCTTTATCTTAACTCAAACAAACTGAAAAACTGGAAAAATAATTAATAGCTCACAAATTTAAACAGGAATAAATAGTCTGGCATTTCTTGTAAAACAGATTAGCTATTTAAAGTTTATTCCAATGTTTTATGGACGATGGAATTCAAAATGTTTTAAAACTAATATATTTACACAAGATAAATGTTTTAAAATTTCTTTCTAAATTTTCAACATAGCTCTTTTCGACTTTAATCGTTCGATTACAGAAAGAAAAATTGATTTATCACACTCAGAAAATCTTTCCTAAATAGCATTCTTAAAATAACTGTCATCGCTTCGTGAACCAGCTAATGTTGCTTCAATTTTTGAAACATTGTAGAGACATTAGGTACTTTTTGGAAGCAGGCAAGCTGAAAAATGAACACTCGCCTTCACCGGTAATCGAACCACGGCCTTTTGGAATACCAGCCCAGCGTGCAGAAACACTACACCACGAAGGCACACTAGGAAGACGGGAAAAATACCTTATAACTGTAATAAATAAATCAGACAAAATGGATCTATAAATCATAGTAGTGTTATACCTAAAAATAGCATAAAAAATTAAAACAGACAAAAGAAATTTTATATTATTACTAAAACGTTTATTCTTGAGCCATAAATTACGAAACATTTTTCAGATTTCTTAAAATTAATTCATGCTTCTAAACTACGTTTAAAAAAGTGCATTCTAGTCTTTGGAGAACAAGAACATATATCAGGCTTACCCTATATGAATAAAGCTTTTGTGTAAAGTCAGCACAAACCTGACGCCTTATTCTGCCTGACTTGACTAAATACCCAATATTGTAATCGGCGTAAATGAAACATTTCAATTAACATTAGAATGTCGTTGTTATTGTTCTCGTGTCTATGATAAAGCCTACTAAAATAGTGTCGTGGGCGAAGATGACAGCCTTGCCAGTTTTCAAAATGTTATCATCATAGAGATTCAGTCTCTTAAACAAGACACAAATTTTTAGCAATTCAGCAAGGATGGCCGGATAATAAAAAATGTGTGCAGTTATCAGTTGTGTCCGTGCAGTTATCACAGTTCCTGTAGGTTTTCCTACTCTGTTTTTCAATTTTCAATCCTCTGTGATGGCCAGCTCTAAGTCTGACAAAATGAAACATTTCAATTAGCATTATAATAATATTATCTAATAAAACCAACTTTCGTATTCTTTGCTATATGTTTTACTTTTATGTTTCGTTAGAATGAAAATAATTTTATAATGTATAATAGTAATTTGAAGAAACACATTAATTTTCCCTGAATGGTTGTGAAAGCGCGGAATATCCCTTGCAAGTAAGCTTTAAACTAACCAGTTTTGTTTAGCTACATTTTTTTTTCTATTTTCCCTCATTTCTATTTCCTGCCAGAATGATATTTCAGTTTTGCATGATATGCCAAGTAGGGTTGTAGAGACATTAGGTATTTTTGGAAGCAGACAAGATGAAAAATGAGCAACGCCTTCGCCGGGATAGAACCGCAGACCTCTGAAATACGCGCCCAGCTTGCAGACCATCGCACCACGAAGGCATGCCAAGAAGGAGGGAGGAATAGATTATATACTCCCCCTTTTAAAGAGCGACTGTTGTTTTAGGGCACCCAATCGAGAAATCCTGGGTGTGGAGAATCATCATCCACCACCTTTTTAGTTCGGGCACCACTGTAGAGACATTAGGTATTTTTTGGAAGCAGGAAAGATGAATAATAGCAACGCCCTCGCAGGGAATCGAACCGCGGACCTCTGGAATACGCGCCCAGCGTGCAGACCACCACACCACGAAGGCACGCTAAGAAGGCGAGAGAAATACCTTATAGGGTAGAAAGATACTATTTAAGCTGGTGTTCTGAGTTACTTCCGACAGAGCGTGTTCTGCCACTTTGTTTCCCTGATTTAAGCTTGCTATTTTACAGCCGTGCGTATTAATTGCCGGTTTGTCTACGTCGGTGGTAGGGCTAAGAGCCAACTCGCGTTCATTATTTTTGTGCAGCTTCGGCTGATATTTAACTTCTTTCTTATTTTTATATTTCTGTTTTGAGTTACAGCCAGAACTATTGGCTCAGTTTGTAAGCACCAGCAGTGTCGTCTGTAAATTTCGTCTTGACTGAATAAAAAGAGTCTTTTGTCATTGATACAGTTTGAACTTAGCGAATAGTCGCTTTACATTTCAAGTAAAGATCTAGCCAGCAAAGTAAAGTTAATTTAGCTAGAATCTGAAAGAACCTATGCTGCCGAATATTGGCCCAAAATTAGCATATCCAGTTTCAGTAGCGGCAACTGCCTCCAATAAAAGTCTGGACGAAGAACAGATTCAAGCGCAGCTGCACCAAGTAGACGATTTTACTTGGAATAAATAAACAAGGGAAAAAAGGGAGGACTAGAGAGTAGAGACAATTTAACAAAGAGCTTCCATGAGCCTTTCAAGCCTCCTAAAGCTCATCGCTGTTTGTATATGTGCTATTTATGTGCTGTTTGTATATGTGCTATATAGTGGATATGTGCAATTTTTCTCATTTTAAGTGTATGGTCTG